AGCTGTGGAGAAAGGACCCTCCCCCTGCACCTGCTCCTGGGGCATGCACCGTCCTCGGTGGGTGCCGAGCGCCCCATGGCGGCCCCGCGCGCCCCTGCAGGAGGTTTGTGTCCGGGCCTACACGGGCCTCCCCTCACTATATCTCTCGCACAGTAATACACGGCCGTGTCCTCGGCTCTCAGGCTGCTCATCTGCAGATACAGCGAGTTCTTGGCGTTGTCTCTGGAGTTGGTGAATCGACCCTTCACGGAGTCTGCATAGTATGTGCTACCACCATTAGGATTAATTACTCCAACCCACTCCAGCCCCTTCCCCGGAGCCTGGCGGACCCACTCCATGTAGTAGCTACTGAAGGTGAATCCAGAGGCCGCACAGGAGAGTCTCAGGGACCCCCCAGTCTTTGCCAAGCCTCCCCCAGACTCCACCAGCTGCACTTCACACTGGACACCTGCAAACACAGAGACACCCTTGTCATTAACTGGCACACAGACCCACTGTTCCCCTCACTCATGTCCACACACACTCAGTCTCTCTAGTTCTCCATAAATCACCTTTAAAAATAGCAACGAGGAAAAACCCAGCTCAGCCCTAAACTCCATGGTGAGTCCTCCGTGTTCAGTGCTGATCACTGAATAGAAACACCTGGGAATCCGGGGCCTGGGCTCCTCTCCCAGAGCTGCAGGGTCAGGGCTGGGCTGTTTTTTTATGAGCAGAGGGAAGGCCCTATTTGCATGTCTCCTCCTGTATAGCAAGTTCTAGAAGGGATTCCCAGAGGAGCTGTATCCCAGAGAGGATGTGAGTGATTATTCTTCATAAATAATTAATTCTCATTAGCATTTCTACTTTTAGATGCACAAGAAGTATGTTCTGTGGGAGTCAAATTTTCCTACATTTACGCATGTGAATGTCAACCCCCAAGTGTGGAGGGGCCATGTCACATGTCTAAGAGCTCACATCCGGTAAGAGCCAGTCTCAGTGTCCGGCCTGTGTTCCTCAGGACTGGATCTGACTGCTCCCTAGATTAACTCTAGGACAGAGCAAGAAATTTCCAGTGAGGTTTATGAAACTCTCTTCTTATAATAATATCATGACATTATTTGGCTATATCTTAGTGCTTTTCTTAATAATACAGAAAAACTGAGTATTAATTCACATGTATTCAGAAGTCTATGACTTCTTTGTATTATTTTTATCTCTCTTAATCGTTTTCTACCAAATCATATATTTTATTATACATTTTTATTTGTAGTATTTTTAATGAGGTCATATTGACAAATAACAATCTTCACACAAATATTTACATCACCATTCAGAGAAAACAAATCAGTTATCCCACAATTTTCTCTTTTTCTCCTGCAATTTCCCTGCCTTACACCTTCCATCCTTTTACCATGGAGAAGTCAGTTTGGGATCTTTGTGATGTAATTTGCAATAAATATTCAATTTGCACAGTTTATAAAATTGAATTATATATATGTACATTCATACACATTATATGTAAACATTAATACACATTAGAGTAGATGTAGTGGAGGGTGGCTAGTGTTGGAATGAGAAGACGCCACAGAATCCCATCTCCAGTGCCTTTCCCTGCCTGCTGCACCTGCCCTGATGCTGAGCCTTGAGCCTGCCTGACCACTGAGCCCCACAATGGTCCTGATCCCCCACGTGGTGCCAAGTACCCCCTGGGTTTCCCTGCTGGTTCCTGAGTTTCAGCTTTAGTTTCAGCACCCCCTGCTGTCCTGTGAACCCACACAGGAAGGTGTGTGTCTGGGTTCACACGGGTGTCCCCCCACTGTGTCTTTTGCTTGAAAACAGGTGGTTGTGTGCTTGTTGCTCACATTGCTCAGCTGCACGAAGATCTGTTTTTTGGACACAGATCTGGAGGTGGTGACTGGACCCTAGAGGAATGAGTTGGAATTTTTGCTTCCTTGATGACCTGTGCACCTGACCCACTCCAGTCCCTCCCCTGGGGCTGATTGATCCAGCTCCAGCAAGAAGCACTGGATGTGATGTGGAATCCAGTATTAAAACTGAAATGTTATTGCTGTTGGTTAATTAAACAAAGCGTGCCCTGTTGATTTAAGTACCGTGTCTTTTATAGATAGAGCTGATTAACTCCAGAATCACTGGTAACTTATAGACATTGAGAAATAGGAGTGACTGTAGGTGAGTCTGCCTTTGGTACATGTGAGAAAGTTTTTCTCTTGTTACAACAAATGTTTCTTCTTCAGAGACTTCACAGGTAAGAACAGGATAAGGAATCCAGAGAAGGGCCCCAGAGGAAACTATTTAATGGAGAGGAAGCCAGAGTGACAGGAAACCAGACCTTAACCCCATCTGCCCCTGCCCTGAGGCTGGCTTTTGCGCAGTGTGTCCTGAGGCCCCCCAGTGGTCCTGTGACCACATCAGGGAGGCTTGTTTATGAGCTCACACTGACTTTTTTTTCTAATACATTCCCCCCCCCACCACACACAAAGACAGAGTAAACCATGAATCCATGCATCTCAGGAACAAAGAACAGCAGGATCACACACCCCCTGTACCCCACTACAAACACATTTAGGTAAATCTTATTAAAACTGCTGAAAACCAAAGACAAATAGAAATACATGCAGGCAAGTGGACATGAACAGAGGGGGCATTCCTTCCAAAAGAACAGAAAAGATGATGACAGCATTCTTCTGGTTAAAACCTTACAACTAGAGGAAAGTTTATGGTATCTGTAAAGTGTTGGAAGGAAAGTCAACTCATTGTTTTATAATTTATGGATGTTCTCTAAAAAGTGAAAAAATAAGCAGTTCTATTTCTCTTTGAAAGCATGAAGGTCTCCATGAATCCATGCACTCATGAGACCAGTGAAAATTCTTTTGAAAAATTCCAGGGTTTGGAAAGGCCCTAACAGCATACAGCAAGTAAAAAAAAAACATTTATTCAAGAAAATCGACAAAACTCAGTAAGGCCAGTCATCACATTAGATCTAAGATGCTCTTCCTCCCTTCCACATCGCAGCTCAGCATGATGTAAACTCCACTGCAGACAGATGCAGCTGAGAAGACAGGACACCTGCTACCCAGCTCCCATCGAGGAAACTCTGCCCCAGGGACCAGGACATTGGCCCTCTGACCCTACCAAGAGCACATGATGCTGGGGCTCAGTTCCGGACAAGAGCTAATGAGAAACAGAGTCACTTCTTCCATGGACCCGATCATGGATGGAGGCTCTTCCCTGGGCCCAGTGCTGGGACATTGGGCCCCTGGTTTCTAGCTCTGCTCCCATGGCAGAGGCTTCACCCCACCAGAACTGGAGTGCTGAGAAGGTGGGAAGCTTCTATCTAAACCTCCACTCAGCACTGAGCTTCTACACTGAGGAATAAAAAAGCCCGTCATTGTCTCCACCTGCAGAACCTTGGTTAGGAGCTCTGTCCCAGGAGAGAGTAGGTGCTGGCATTTGCTCATAAAATATGACCCTTAATTTGGCTCCAAACATCCTAACTTCAGTAACAACAGAATGTGGAAAAGTTCAAAACCTACCAGTGTTCTCAAGAGCAGTGGAGGGTGTCATGAAAGGTCCTTGAAAGGAGACGGGTGGATGCCTGGGAGACACAGGCCGAACCTCCCTGGGGGAGGTTCTCTTGTGGTTGGAACAAATGCCAGACATTGTTCAAAGTGTCCCACGTTTGTTTGGTTCAGTCTGTGAAGGAATGGAACCTCAGTCTGCAAGTGGTGGAGCTCAACATCTGGGCCTGGTTAGGAAAGTGACAGAGAACGCCCAGCCCAAACCACTGACATCTGAGTGTGACTATGGCACCTACAGCTGTGTCCATTTGATCTTTGGGACTGGCTTCTCTCACTTAGCCTCATGGCTGGAGTCCACCTGTAATGGTTAGTCATTTGCTGTCTTTTATTGCTGATGGTATTCAATTGATAGATACTTCTTACTTCCTTACCCATTCAATGAGACATTTGTGTTATTTTTAGTTTCTAATGCACACACACACACACACACGCATAACATCTTAAATATTTGAATACAAGTTTTGTGTGAATAGAAGATTGTATTTCTGTGATGCAAATATTTAAAAGTGGGATATATAGGTCATGTGTTAAGGGCATTTTTGATTTAAAAAAAACTGAAAATTATTGTCCTGAGTAGCTGTTTCATTTCGCATTCCCATTAGCAATGTTGTAGACTCTAGGAAACTGGCATGCTCACCAGCATTGGTATTATCTGTATTTCTTCTTAATTTCAGCCATTTTAAAAGTGTAGAGTGTTGTCTCATTGTAGGCTTGATTTGAATTTCTCTAATGAATGATCCTGTTGAGAGCCTGTTTATATCCAGTCATCTGCACATCTTCAGTGAAATGTCAGCAGAAACCATTGCATAGTTTATCCATGGGTTATTTCTTCTTCTTATTTTTTTTTTTGCAGTTGAGTTCTGTGAGTTCTTATTAAAATTACATTGGTGCCTATATGATCTGCAAAGAGTTCTCATTTGAAACTTGACATTCATTTCCATATAGTAAGGAAATTTTTTTTAATTTAATAAGGTTCAACTGATATTAATTTCATTTATTGATCATATATTAAATTATAATTTTTGATCATTGGTCAACTATTAATTATTTTATGTTTTTAATTGTATTTGTTCACACATTTATTTGTATAAATGTAAGAGCTATGAGTGCATCCTTTGCACATGGATATATTACACGGTGGCCTTGGCTTTTAGTGCACCTGGCACCCAAATCATGCACATTGTACCCACCAGGTAATGCCTCATCATGCTCCCACCTTCCACCTTCACGTCCTTCTAAGTCTCCATGTCCATCATTTCTCAATCCATGTCCTTGGGTACACATTGTTACCTCCCACTTACAGTTCAGTTAGTATAATGTCCTCCAGTTCTATGCATCTTGATGCAAAAGACACAGTTTCATTCTTTTTTTTGTGGCTGATTAGTATCAAATTGGGTGTACATGGTACATTCTTTCATGAAATCATCTGTTGGGTGACACTCAGGTTGACATAGATGCTGTTGGGAATAGTTTTGTGGTAAACATAGAAGTATGGGTATCTTTTTTGAAGTAATGATTTATTTTCCTTTGTGTAATTACCCAGTAGTGGGATTGCTGTGTCAAATGGCAGGTCTGTTTCTAGTTATTTTTGGAAATATCCATACCATTATCCACAGAAGTTGTATTTGTCCACATCCTCATCAACACTGTCTAAGAGTTCCCTTTACTATCCATCTTCAGCAACATCTGATATTTTTGAGTTTCTAGCAATAGTCGTTTTGACTGGTGTCAGACAAGAGCATGTTGTGGTTTTAATTTTCATTTCCCTGACGGTTAGTGATGTTGAGCATTGTTTGTATATGTAGCATCCATTTTTAGGTGTGCTTTAAAAAATGTCTACTGATGTCCTTTGCTCATTTTAATGGGGGTATTTTGTTCTTGTTCCTATGTTGTAGAGTTGATTGAATTGCTTATGAATTCTTCATATTGTTTCCTGTCACAGGCAAGGTGTGCAAAAATGTTGCAACTTGCCTGTTTAGTCTGTTGCTGTGAAAAAAACTCTGTGGGTTAATTAAATCTCATGTGTCTACTTTTTTCTCAGGTATGCTTTTTGGGTCTTAGTCATAAATTATTTACCTATTCCAATGCCCAGAAGAGTTGTCCTGGTGTTTTCTTTGAGTGCACTTATAGTTGAAATATTACAGGTAAGTATTTAATTCACTTTGTGTGGAGTATGGATGTGTTGAGGGTGAGAGTCTAGTTTTGTTCTTCTGTATTTGCCATCCAATTTCCCCAGCACCATTTATTGAATGGGATGTCCTTTCCCTGGTGTAAATTTTTGTTAATTTTTGTTAACTTTGCCAAAGATCACTTGGCAATAGATTGTGTGGCTCAATTCTGGGTTCTGTACAATAT